GCGGCGGAGGGCGGCCCCTGCGGTGGGGCCGGGCGGGCTCGCGCGCTTCGTTTCGGTGTGGATTCGTGGGCTTGTTTATTGCAGTCCTGTTGCTCCGGGGAGCCCGAGGCGGTTTGCGCAGGCCGCTTCCTCCCTCCCCCCCGTTCTTATTCTCGCCACAACAGCCCTGCGGGGTAGGCCGGGAGCCCGGCACTGTCCCGGCCTCACCCGGGGAGTGGCGTGCCAAGTGGGCACCAAGTGGGCACCTGTGCCCCGGCCTCCGGAGCTCCCCTGGCTCCCTCACCACTATGCCACACCATCATTTGTATACTCTAAATATGGACAGTAGTTTCCTGTTAATTGGCTTATTTAAAATACGTTATATGTATGAAATATAAAAGACCACATTCCTGGGGAATGAAAGGCATATCGCTTCCTTTTTCTTGCAAAGAGCCTAAAGCAGCTTGCATGATCCCGTCATCTCCGTGTGATCCTCCTGGCAACCCTGCGAGGTAGGCCAGGCCGGCCCAAAAGTCCCCAGTGAGGTTCTCGCTCAAGCAGGGACTGGGATGCAGATCTCAATTCTGCTGCACCGGCTATGCCTTTTCCAGATTTCCAGATTCCAGAAGGCAGTGCCAGGGAGGTGGTTGAGGGCAGTATCCTTCGTCTCCAAAGAGGCTTTCTGGGTGGGGTGAGGAGAGCAGATGCAGGAGGGGGAGAAGGGAACATTCCCTCTGGAACTGTACTTAGCTCTTTAATTTAGGGGCTGAACTTCTGTGTCTTCCTTTATACTTCCTCTTCTACCCATCTATCTGCCAGGTTACTGTTGGAGAGTCGAGGAGTTCTTCAGTCCGTCCTTCCTTATTTATCCACGCTATTTAGTCTTAAGGAAGCATGCCTGATTTTCCCCTCCCCCTTTTCCCATTTTATTCCCTCAAGAACCCCGTGAGGTGGATTAGGTAGAAAGTCTGTGACTGGTTCAAGACCACCCAGTCTCCAAGTAAGGGCCAGAACTTAGGCCTTTTTGGTCCAGGGCATGGCCCCTACACCATGCTGGCTGTCAGATATTGTAGGCTTTGGGGTATAAAGAGACAGACTTTGGGAAAAATAGTCTTAGTACTCTAGATCTTCCCCCATATATGTGCATGCAGCCGAAGGGTTGGACTGCAAGTGCCTGGACTGCAAGTGCCATCATCCTGGCTGCAGGGCAAAAGAAGAGACGGGAGGCATAGTGTGACACCTTCTGGAGGGAGTCAGGTTGGTCAGGGCTGCTCTGAAGAGCAATGTGGGGGTAGGGGACAGGGCAAGGGGCCCAGGGCTCGAGTTACGTCTTCTCTTTGTAAGGATCTCCCTTAGGCGTGGGATGTTTTTAGCACTGCTAATCCGGTGTGTTTGCCCCACCTGGCATTCTTGCATCCCCTCTTACTGGGAGAGGAGTGGGGAGAGTAGGTCTGCTCCAGAGCTTCCATGAAGGGGCTCTGTCATAGTTTGAGTGCTTGCCAGGATGCCGGCGCTGCATGGTGTGTGTTTCCTAAGGAAGGCATGGCTGGGGGTGGGAAGGGAATGAGCTGGCACATGGGGCAGGGGGCATCATAGCCAGGCAGCAGTTTGAGTCTGGTGGGAGTAGCAGGGCATACCTAAGGCAGTGTAACGTTCAAGTGTGGTCAAGTCGCCTCTGGCTTACGGTGACCCTGCGAATGGGCGCCCTCCGTAATGTCCTGTCCTTGACAGCCCTGCTCAGCTGTTCTAAATTAAAGGCGGTGGCCTCCTTGATGGAGTCAATCCTTCTCTTAGTTGGTTTCCTTTTTCTTCTTCCGCCTTTGACTTTCCCTGGCATGACTGTCTTCTCCAGGGAGTCTGGCCTTCTCATGATGTGCCTGAAGTACCACAGCCTCTGTTTTGACATTTTTCCTTCTAGGGAAAGCTCTGGCTTGATTTGATGTAGGAGGCGCTTTCCGCTTGGCTGATAGTGGTGGCAGTGAAGGGCTGATAGAATTATAAACAAGCAGGGGCTGGCTAAAATTTGCCTCTGGAGCAGGAACAGGGTGACACTCAAGTGCTTTTGGAAGTCCACTCTGCAGCTCCATGAGCCTCTTGCCTTGTTCCCACGATATCAGTCCTGTCTCTTTTCCAGCATTCACATAGGAAACATGGTTTCTGTGATTCTGGGTTCCTGACATATGTACCATTAAGTTGTTAAGCGGCTGTCTCATGCTTTGGTTATGGCCAGCAAAACTAGTCTTGCCACAAATTTGCAAACATGATTTGCAAACTTGTCACGTTTGACCTCCGCCTTCTCGTTTGCTTGCATTCTGTTGCAGAGGATGGGATTGGATCTATACTTAGCAACCCTTTTTCCTTCCAGGGAACTCGCAACAGCTTAATTCCCCTTCTCTCAATCTTATTCGCACAACAAGTTCATTGAGGTAGGTAGGACAAGAGTGAATGATTGGCCCAAAGTAACTCGGTGAGCTTCATGAATGAGTGGGGACAATCCAGGATCCCCAGTCCAACACTAACCACCACACCGCAGTGGCTCTCTTGGGAAACATGAGGGTCTCTGTCATGTATTTTCTTTCTAAGCCACATTTAGAAGAGAAGAGGCAGGTTGGGAGGAAAGCTCAAGCCTTCTCATGCTCTTTTTTCCTATATCCACCTGCTTTTCTCTCCACCTTCCCTCTAAATTTAGTCTTGCGCTCCTTGTTCAGGAGCTGCTTGTTAATTGCTTTGAAAGCTGCCATGTTAAGCATTTTTTATCAAAGCACAATATCGGGATGCAGATTGTACCCAAGCTGTACAGGTTGGACACAGAGTAAAGTGCTGCCAACCTTATGATTGAGGTGGAAAGGGGACAGTGTACCAGGATAAAGGTTGGAAGGTCTTGAGTAGTGGAAATTGGAGGGCTTAGAGCTCAGTCAGAGATAGGCTGGTATTGCCTAAGCATCTGAATGTGGGTAGAAATCTAGTAGCAGGCATTGTGGGAAAGGCAGAGGCTGGCAAGGGAACTGGTAGGAGGGTACTGATGTTAAAAATGGGATACGATTGATGCCAGGACAGTGAGGTTCTGATTGGCTGGATGGGCATTTGGAAAATGAAGTTATCTCACACTTGGATGTTTTCAAGGTATGTGGTCTAGGCATGACTCTGGTTCAGGCTGTGGCTGATTTGTTTCCACGAGGAAGACAGTTGCATCTATTCTCACTCAGTTAGCATAAAAAGTGTCCAGGCAAGGCAAGTGTTGGGGAAAAGGTGTGTTGGCATGTCACACAGTCTTGGTGAAACTTTGGGATAAAGTGGAGGGACCATTGCTTCTTGTTGAAGCACACAATTTGCATACAGAAGTGCCAGGTTCAGTCACTGGCATCTTTTGGTAGGACTCAAAAAACTCCTGCCTGAAACCCAGGAGAGAAGCTGCCACCCATGTTGGACAACACTCAGGTAAGTGGACCCGTCTAGATCAGTGTAAGAGAGCCTTCTGTGCTCCTGTGACTGAGTAAGATTCGTTTGGGCCTTGTTCTACCACTCAATTTCTCTGTGTGTGTGTGTGTGTGTGTGTGTGTGTGTGTGTGTGTGTGTGTGTGAGAGAGAGAGAGAGAGAGAGAGAGAGAGAGAGAGAGAGAGAGAGAGAGAGAGAGAGAGAGGAGGAGTCAGCAGAACTAGATTCCCATGACATGATTCCACCTTTCACTTTTGGACTCTAAAACGAACTTGAACTTGGGCTTCGTTTGTTCACTGAATGTTTATTGTTCGAAATGACCCCTGTGCTCCGTGTGGATTGGGTTCTGTCCAGCACACACAAGACGCTTCGCTTTTGTTCATAAAATGATTTGCTTTAGGAATGGTCACACCTTCCTTAGATCTGCTGGATCGTGCCAATTTGTGGGGTATTTCAGGACAGCAGCTTTCTGTGCTGTTCAGGCTGCAGCAGACATCTGGAAACGTGGGGAACACACAACTGCTCAGCGAGGAAGATTGCACAGGGCCGTGCAGAGTCCATCACAAAGGCGGTGGAGATTGGTACCTGGCTTTTGAGTGCACAAAAGAAGGTCGCCGGGTTGCCACTGGTTCCCCCAGGCTGGTCCGGGTCAAGAACCTGTCCTGTGTGTGGATGAGTTTCTGATGCTGGGACAGTTTGCCTTTGCCCTGTAAGACAGAGAGGCCGTTGGCTTTCGATGGCTCGGACCTGAAGGTGGGGGAAGGCTTGTGACTGAGTCTTGCAAGTCCTGCAGTAACCGGCCACTGATGCTGAGCTACGAAACTGAAGTGAAATGAAGGGGCATGTGTGGACTGCCATTGGTTTCCGTCTCCTGCTTCTGGTGTCTTAAAAACGGTGGCCAAGGCCACTGGAGATGGGAGAGGGAAGACTTAGCCCCTTCATTGCTTCTGGCTAATATGGTTGCTAGGATGGGAATGGGCCACCTCCAAAGCAAGCAGAGTTTACTGGAAAGATGCCGATTTATGAACCATGTCATGCGCTTTGATATGTATTTGATTGTTTGCCCTGGTGCATTAGGTTGCCATCGAAATGGCGAGTTGTCCGGAGACATTCTGTAGGGGACGGGATAGAACAGCTTTTAATAGTAGATAAATAAAAATAAATAAATAGAAATATACTTTTTAGGTTGTCCATTGTTAAGTATGTCTGTTATTTTGTATGCCTGATTCTCTGATTAATGGAGTCAGCCTCCCCGGGATGGGTCTAAAATTCGGTGTTTCCACCCACAGATATGACAGGCTGGTCAAAGGAAAGGCTGCAGGGGGCCCTTTTGGAGACCCAGTGCACGCTTTAAGATTGTCATGGACATGTATGGGAAGAATCTTCATCTCCTCATCCTGCAGACATGATTAAGATGCTCAGAAATGGTAGCTTAGTACTCTGTCTGATTTGGCTTGGGATAGGGCTCTCTCGCTTTGCCCTGTTAAGAGGAATGAAAGTGAGAGGTGGATGGAAGCAAGAGCTGCTTTTCCCCCTCACTGCTGCCTTCAGATCTTGCGAAGCCCCAGACGTCTTTGCCCTTTCAGAGTTATGTTGCATGACTTTGCATTTTGCATTCTGAAATTGTTTCTGGACCTCTTGTCATGTTAATATCAGTAATGACTCACTGGTTCTCTGTTGGTTCCTTCCATAGTCTTCGGTCAGCAGGGTTGTTAAATTTCTTGAAGGTTATTGGCAAGTACAGGATCGCATAGAGCTGACAATGGGATCCCCAAAGGACTGCAGTAATGACCTCCCTTTGAGAGTGGTTGTCTGGGATGCAGCTCAAACTAATACATCACAAGTGAAAACAAGGTGTCTTGTGGCTTAGGCTGCAGCAAAATATTAGCTCTTAAGCTCTTAATGCCAGGTCGGTCCAAAATAAGGCAACCCTCATCCATGATTCAATCATGGATGAGAGGGCCGACCTGGGCGGGTGGGGGGGGATGTTTCCCTCTCACAATTGTGCCTGCCTGGGTACCTGGTCCAGCACCAACCACGCCTGGAGGGGAGGGGGGGTCGCTCTGGTTTATCGAGCTTTTATTTCCCTTATGGGGCTTCCTGTCCTCTTGAGGCTGGGGCTGGAGTTCCTCCACTTGGTGTTGGGCGACTGAGACAGATCGGGGATTCTGTTGGTGTACTGTGTACCCTTCTGCCCAACAGACTCCCTGCCTGAGCTGACCTGGTCCTGGGGGACTTCAGTCTCCATGCCGAGATGGTTCTAACCGGGGCAGCTCAGGACTTCATGGCCTCCATGGCGGCCGTGGGGCTGTCTCAACACATCAGTGGCACAACCCATGAACGTGGACACACTCTGGACCTGGTTTTCTCGACGGGGCAGGAAGAGGGTGATCTGAGGGTGAGGAATTTAAGTTTGACGCCCTTGTCATGGTCAAATCACTTCCTCATAAGGTTTGAGCTCGAAAGTGGCCTTTCCCTCTGTAAGGGTGTGGACCCGATTGTATTGGTCCGACCCCGGAGCCGGATGGATCCTGATGGATTCCTGGAAGCTCTGGGAGATTTTCCGTTTGACAAGGCTGGTGATCCTGTCGATGCCCTGGTTGAACTGTGGAATGAGGAGATGACCGAGGCTATTGACATGATCGCTCCCAAGCGTCCTCTCCCACCTGGCAGAGCCCGTTCATCTCCTTGGTATACACCTGAATTGCGGGCGATGAAGCAGGTTGGGAGACGTCTAGAATGTAGGTGGAGGAGATCACAGGGTGATTCTGACCGAACACACAGGAGTCCACTATCGGGCCTATGCTGTGGCGGTGCGGACGGCGAAGAAGACATTCTTCTCCGTTTCCATAGCCTCCTCACAGTGCCGTCTGGAGGAGCTCTTTCGGGTGGTGCAGGGGCTGATACATCCGGGCCCAAAGAAAGATCTTGTGCCACCCTCGAAGGCCTGCTGTGATGACTTTGCCAAGCATTTCAGGGAGAAAATCGCTCAGATTCGCCACAAGCTTGACTCTACTATTGAACCAGATTCTACTGGGGAGATGCCATGGATGCCGTCGAGTCCACAATTAATGGATGAATTTCAGTTTTTGCGGCCTGATGATGTGGACAAGGTACTTGGACAAGAACATCCTACCACCTGCTTACTAGACCCTTATCCATCTTGGCTGCTCAAGAAAGCCAATGACGGGATTGGGACCTGGATCCTGGAGGTGCTCAACACCTCTTTAAGAGACGGCCAGGTAGCTGCCCCTTTAAAGGAGGCGGTAGTCCGGCCAGTCCTAAAGAAGGCATCCCTGGATCCAGAGAGACCGGGGAAGTGTGTCCCTGTTAGTTCTCCTGGACCTCTCAGTGGCTTTTGATACCACTGACCATGGTATCTTTCTGAATAGGCTAGCAGGATCGGGAGTTGGAAGCACCGCGTTGCGGTGGTTCTACTCCTATCTCAACAGCCAATTCCAGAAGGTGGTGCTGAGGGACTATGACTCTGCACCATGGCAGCTATGCCATGGAGTACTGCAGGGGTCCATTTCGTCCCCTTTGCTGTTCAACATCTACATGAAACCGCTGGGAGAGGTCATTAGGTGGTGTGGGCTGTGGAATCATCAGTACGCTGATGATACCCAGCTCTACCTCTCATTTTGCACCAATCCAGGTGAGGCAGTGGCTGTACTGAACCAGTGCCTGGCCGAGGTAATGGGCTGGATGAGGGCCAATAAACTGAAGCTCAATCCAGACAACACGGAGGTCCTGTTGGTGGGTGGTTTGGGCTTCGGGATGGGGGACTTGGGCCTTGTCCTAAATGGGGTTGCACTCCCTCTGAGGGACAGGGTTCGCAGCTTAGGAGTGCTCCTCGACCCTGAGCTGTCTCTAGAAGCTCAGGTGACGGCGGTGGTGAGGAGTGCCTTCCTTCAGCTTTGACTGATACATCAGCTGCGTCCCTTCCTGGAGAACGACTGCCTGGCGACAGTGACACATGCGTTGGTGACTTCCTGATTAGATTTCTGCAATGCGCTCTGCATGGGGCTGCCCTTGAAGATGGTCCGGATACTTCAGTTGGTGCAAAACAGAACTGCCAGGTTGCTGACGGGGACTGGGCGTTGTTCTCATATAACCCCAGTTCTCTGTCAGCTCCACTGGCTCCCCATTGAAGTCAGGGCCCAATTCAAGGTGTTGGTTATGACCTATAAAGCCCTAAACGGCTTGGGACCTGGATATTTAAAGGAACGCTTGCGTCCATATATGCCCTCCCACCCCTTGAGATCAGCAAAAGATGCCCTTCTCTGGGAACCCTCTGTGAATGATATTAGGAGGGTGAGCGCCCAGAGGAGGGCCTTCTCTGCAGTGGCGCCCCATCTATGATATGCGCTCCCCAGAGAGGTCCGCCTGGCGTCGTCGTTATTTGTTTTTCAGCACCAGGCTAAGACCTTTGTATTTAAAACTTATTTTAATTGTTACATTATTTGTATTTATAGGATTTTAAATTTTTAGCTGAGATGCACCGGGGGTTTTAAATAATTTTTTATTGTTATATTGTTATTTATTTATGTATTTTTTTCCTGTTGTGAGCCGCCCCAAGGCTTCGTTGCAATGGGGGCAGCATAAAAATGTTTTAAATAAATAAGTAAGTGGAAAATCTAAGGTACTAGCTCACCCTGTGGGATTGGGGTATGCTTTTAAAATAGCCATGGAGAAATAGGGGGTGCCATGGAACAGAGATGCTGTCATTTCTTGCTGTCCATACAGAATTTCAGGGGTATGTTTTTGCTGAGAAATGAGGTCTGCCTGATCCTTGTGGCCTTGGGCTTCTGTTTTGGTTTTTAGAACTCTGTCTTTAATGATAAAACTTTGGAAGCTGGACTAGTGTTTGAAATGCATTTGGTTACTTTCAGATGACATGCTTACTGTGCATAGAGCCATTTGAAAGCTGATCTTGCTAGTGCAGGCTACTAATATGGTCCATTTCCCCTGCATTAGTTGTATTTTTCCTCATCCTGCTGAG